GATATTGGAAAAGTTTTTTATTCTCTCTTTTATAATTCATTCTGCCGTATATTTTGTTTTCTTACTCGCACATGTAATTTATATCTATTCGTTGGGAAAATTTACAAAAGCGATCTACCTTTATTTTTTTTTAGTATTTGTAATTTAATCTCTTTTATGGTCACTGTAAGTAAAAAAAAAATAAATAAAAAATAAAAAAATTCCTTTGATGATACTAATTTAAATGTAAATTTTTCTGACTAGATATTTACAAAAACATTATTACATGGAATAGTTTTTTGTTTTATGAATTTTCTTTTAATGGCTAGTTATGCAATGTTCGTCTACAATTCTTGCGGTGACAAAAGATGTAGTATTAATTTAAAAATGTTTATCGTGTTCAAGTATTTTCATTAATTGTACATGTTATCTTTGAGTGCATTTACCTAATATTGATGGCTCTTCTTTGGTATAAAGGGTAAGAAAACATATTTAAATTATTCCTTTCCCCAATAAGACTAATTAATAACTGTTTTTTCGCCCAGACAATGGAACTTTTTCAAAGATCTAGACAACACAAAAAATATTCAGATCAAAAGTAAGTATTTAAATTAAATATATATATACTAATCACAATCTACATACATTAACGATATCCATTAAATGTGATGTAAGGAATGTACAAAAGATATCAATGTCAAGTTGTATTAATCCATGCAAACTTCATAACGGTATCAGCATGGGCATATTGTATGTGGTTGTTTGAAGTAATATGGTTTAATATAAACTTGTCTTTTTATGATATCAATTCTTTTATTTGAGATCTCATAATGATTGATCAATTAACTTATTTAATTGTTTTATTATTTATAATCAGTGTGGTAAGTATATTTTGAATAATTATTTTTTTTTTAAATAAAATTTTCTTCATTAGGTTATGTGTGAATCAAAACTGATCTATTTGATTCATTTATTAAATTTGTTAGAATGCTTTCTTATAACATATAGAATTGTAAGTTATTGTCCTATTCATACGATAAGAATGATGGGGAAGGATTTTTGTGATGATCCTTTTAAATTGTACAATTCTTCAGAATCTCAAATCGTCTCGGCTACAGGTAAAATATATTTTTTTGTTTATACATATCATTACAATTATAAATTATATAATTACATTTCTTTTAATATTAGGTGCCTTAGCTTTCTTTATAACCTTGGCACAAAGTATCAATCTTATTTTATGTCACAGAAATTTTGGGAATAATCTAGGATTTTATTGTAAGAT